CCCCTGTATCTGCGTCTTCTCTTCACGCGAATGACGGGAATTTGTGCCTTGTCGGGTATCGGGAGTAAATCCATCGCGTCCGACTCGTTAAAGAAAAAATCTTCATCCAGTTCAAGGTGAGTAATCGCTGTTCTGATATCCAGAAGCTATTTTCAGTCATAAGAGACGGTGGCAGAAACATTATGTACAAAATAATTTACAAATAATGCGAAAAAACACACAAAATAGCACAATTGGTTAGGAGCCTGTAAAACGGCAGCCGTCTCCTCCGGCGCCATTATTGACCTTGCATCCTAATTTATGGATCAGTCAATTTGCCCACTGCAATAGACAATCTACACGGTCTTAACAGGGTCCTTTATGTTCAATATTTGTGATAAATTAAAAAGCATTAATGCAAATAAACAATCCTCAATCAATTAGATACTTATTCAACCTGCGAGCGTTTGATGGTCAGCCAGGTCACATCCCTTTTTTTAGCGTATGCATGGATTGTATTTTAGTGTAACCCAAGCACTACCTTCAGGTTAGGAATATAATTGTGTTTCTACGGTATTATAAATGTATTTTTGGATTGAATGGAACCCTATGAGCATAATACCATATGCCTATAATAAGGTAGTTAAATATGTGATATACAGTGGGGAAAAAAAGTATTTAGTCAGCCACCAATTGTGCAAGTTCTCCCACATAAAAAGATGAGAGAGGCCTGTAATTTTCATCATAGGTACACGTCAACTATGACAGACAAAATGAGAAAAAAATCCAGAAAATCACATTGTAGGATTTTTAATGAATTTATTTGCAAATTATGGTGGAAAATAAGTATTTGGTCAATAACAAAAGTTTCTCAATACTTTGTTGTATACCCTTTGTTGGCAATGACACAGGTCAAACGTTTTCTGTAAGTCTTCACAAGGTTTTCACACACTGTTGCTGGTATTTTGGCCCATTCCTCCATACAGATCTCCTCAAGAGCAGTGATGTTTTGGGGCTGTCGCTGGGCAACACAGACTTTCAACTCCCTCCAAAGATTTTCTATGGGGTTGAGATCTGGAGACTGGCTAGGCAACTCCAGGACCTTGAAATGCTTCTTACGAAGCCACTCCTTCGTTGCCCGGGCGGTGTGTTTGGGATCATTGTCATGCTGAAAGACCCAGCCACGTTTCATCTTCAATGCCCTTGCTGATGGAAGGAGGTTTTCACTCAAAATCTCACGATACATGGCCCCATTCATTCTTTCCTTTACACGGATCAGTCGTCCTGGTCCCTTTGCAGAAAAACAGCCCCAAAGCATGATGTTTCCACCCCCTTGCTTCACAGTAGGTATGGTGTTCTTTGGATGCAACTCAGCATTCTTTGTCCTCCAAACACGACAAGTTGAGTTTTTACCAAAAAATTATATTTTGGTTTCATCTGACATTCTCCCAATCCTCTTCTGGATCATCCAAATGCACTCTAGCAAACTTCAGACGGGCCTGGACATGTACTGGCTTAAGCAGGGGGACACGTCTGGCACTGCAGGATTTGAGTCCCTGGCGGCGTAGTGTGTTACTGATGGTAGGCTTTGTTACTTTGGTCCCAGCTCTCTGCAGGTAATTCACTAGGTCCCCCCGTGTGGTTCTGGGATTTTTGCTCACCGTTCTTGTGATCATTTTGACCCCACGGGGTGAGATCTTGCGTGGAGCCCCAGATCGAGGGAGATTATCAGTGGTCTTGTATGTCTTCCATTTTCTAATAATTGCTCCCACAGTTGATTTCTTCAAACCAAGCTGCTTACCTATTGCAGATTCAGTCTTCCCAGCCTGGTGCAGGTCTACAATGTTGTTTCTGGTGTCCTTTGACAGCTCTTTGGTCTTGGCCATAGTGGAGTTTGGAGTGTGACTGTTTGAGATTGTGGACAGGTGTCTTTTATACTGATAACAAGTTCAAACAGGTGCCATTAATACAGGTAACGAGTGGAGGACAGAGGAGCCTCTTAAAGAAGAAGTTACAGGTCTGTGAGAGCCAGAAACCTTGCTTGTTTGTAGGTGACCAAATACTTATTTTCCACCATAATTTGCAAATAAATTCATTAAAAATCCTACAATGTGATTTTCTGGGGTTTTTTTTTCTCAATTTGTCTGTCATAGTTGACGTGTACCTATGATGAAAATTACAGGCCTCTCTCATCTTTTTAAGTGGGAGAACTTGCACAATTGGTGGCTGACTAAATACTTTTTTTCCCCACTGTATGGACTGAAAAACTGTCTGTATCATGTCACCAACAATTGGGGTAAGTGTTAAAGGTCCACATGTCCAACTGTGGGGAATCCCCCTTTAAAGTAGCCCACAGGCATGTTTTTTTTAAACACAAAAATCTTGCAAATTATGACCCACACATGTCCAGACAATGACTTGACAAATCACCACATTTTATACTGAGCTATAGGCTCAAGAGACACTCATTTTCAATTATGATTAGAGTGCATTTTAACACACCCCTCCTGCCACATAACTAATGCATACCTAATACTGCGTTCATAGCCAAGTGGGAAGGTGGTAATTACCAGTTCTGAAGTCGTAAATATCAGTTGGATGCATTCACGTGCTTTTAACTTGTTGAGAAATGCTGATTGGCTAATGGCTGCGTCAACTATGAACTAAAAGTACACCTATCATGCTTGTAAACAAATTAGTGTTAAAACAACATCATAGATGTTTCCCCCTTCTGATAACCAGGTGGCGAACCGCATCTCTGCATGTCTGGCAGACATATCGGTATGGATGACGGATCACCACCTCAAGCTGAACCTTGGCAAGACGGAGCTGCTCTTCCTCCCGGGGAAGGACTGCCTGTTCCATGATCTCGCCATCACGGTTGACAACTCCGTTGTGTCCTCCTCCCAGAGTGCGAAGAGCCTTGGCGTGACCCTGGACAACACCCTGTCGTTCTCCGCTAACATCAAGGCGGTGACCCGATCCTGTAGGTTCATGCTCTACAACATTCGGAGAGTACGACCCTGCCTTACACAGGAAGCGGCACAGGTCCTAATCCAGGCACTTGTCATCTCCCGTCTGGATTACTGCAACTCGCTGTTGGCTGGGCTCCCTGCACCATTAAACCCCTACAACTCATTCAGAATGCCGCAGCCCGTCTGGTGTTCAACCTTCCCAAGTTCTCTCACGTCACCCCGCTCCTCCGCACACTCCACTGGCTTCCAGTTGAAGCTCGCATCTGCTACAAGACCATGGTGCTTGCCTACGGAGCTGTGAGGGGAACGGCACCTCCGTACCTTCAGGCTCTGATCAGTCCCTACACCCAAATGAGGGCACTGCGTTCATCCACCTCTGGCCTGCTGGCTCCCCTACCTCTGCAGAAGCATAGTTCCCGCTCAGCCCAGTCAAAACTGTTTGCTACTCTGGCACCCCAATGGTGGAACAAGCTCCCTCACGACGCCAGGACAGCGGAGTCACTCACCACCTTCCGGAGACATTTGAAACCCCACCTCTTTAAGGAATACCTGGGATAGGATAAAGTTATTCCTTCTACCCCCCCCCCCCACACACAAAAAAAAACATTGTAAAGAGGTTATCCCACTGGCTATAAGGTGAATGCACCTATTTGTAAGTCGCTCTGGATAATAGCGTCTGCTAAATGACGTAAATGTAAATGTAAATAGATGTATTGTTATAAATAATGTTTTGATGTTGCATTTAACTGCCGAAAAAGCTGTTATCGAGGTCATTTCCAGAGGTCAGAATGTGGGAGAAGTTGGAGCTCAAAGATGATAGATGAGTTTCCCACCAGTTGGAGGGGCGTATTTATCCCAGTCTTCCATGCTTTGTTTTTTGTTTTATATGTGCGTGTGCAGGTGTGGACTTCATTATATTTTAGTTAATAAATACCACCTTCCCACTTGGTTATGAACACAGCATAACAGTCTCCTGAAACAAAACACCACTACCCCTCCCCCTCCTAACGGTTCCATTCAGTAGAATTTGCCTTTGCCAAGACACAGCACAAAAGCATCATGTGACCTGGCTGAAAACAGGCAAAGCATTACATCAGCTCAGGAAGTCAGCAATCAAAAGAAAAGATACCGTACTCTAAAAGGGGACACAGCATTACAGCAGAAAAGAGCTGTATGTATGTATTATTGTTGTTGTTCTAGCGAAAAGACTATACTAACATTTTGGTCGGAGAGATAACACTAAGGGGAAATCTAAACACATTTCTGATGTTAAAAGTATGATTATTAGAAACATTTTGGACTAATGTCAAATTGATTTAAAAAATCAAATGATCAAATAAGCGCATTCATAATGTGAAATCACATGAGTAGCTTACACTATAATAAGCTATAGCCTATGTCTTGGGTGTTATATTTTATTATGTGCACTTTTATATATTTTTTGGAAGGCTATTTCCACCCGTTTAAAATTGTGTCTACCCCTTTAAATCACTCTCCCAGGTTTGTATTTAAATCTGATTTATCTTTTAAGTGCACGCCCATTGGTCCATATGGATTTGGCGGGGCAGTATTCGTAGTGATTGTAAAGACGACACGTATTTTCATTGGCTGGCCTGGTTGTTACGTTAGGGTATAAAGCTGTGTTAAAAATAGAAACAGTCCCATTCCTCTTAATGCTCAGCTGTTGATTAGAGTGAAAGGTGTAAGAATTTAATGAAAGCCTTTAATTTCTTCACCCATGCACTGATTTGCTTCTGCTCAGGAGAACGATGAAGCACATCTTGAATTCATCAAATGCCAGTTTCTAAATATATATATATATTTACGTCACTGTTGAGAATTCAGTGCGATTTTTAAGTGAATAGCGTGCAGTCGCTAGCTGGACATACAAACTCGAATAGCCTACATCTATACCCGGGATTTTAGGATTAGCGTTCTAACCATTCGTTTCGACGTTGACTGAAGCACGAGAAAGGCAGTGGGTGCTTTTGCTTACCAACCTAATAGTTTTTAATCATGGAGTTTAAAGTTGAGGCACATCGGATTATGAGTATTTCACTCGGGAAGATTTACAACTCACGAGTGCAACGTGGTGGTATCAAACTACACAAAAATCTACTGGTCTCCCTCGTTCTACGGAGTGCCCGGCAAGTATACCTGAGTGACTACTACGGCGGGATATGCCTGAGCGCCCAACAAGCAAGAGAGTGGTGTGAGGGGGAGTACATTGCTTCAGAACAAGACAAATTGATTCCCGGTTCGAAAGAGAACCTGCCTGAATCGGACGAGCAAAGCGAAGTGGCGGTGGACAAGCAGGATTCCAGAGATGTGGTCGAATCCCCTTCCACACTGAACGTAGAAACTCAAGCGAGTGGCGAGCAAGACAGCGACGAAAATGTTTCGGATTCAGGATGTAGCGACATCAAAACCCCGGAAGAGGGACCGGAGTCTACTCAGACATGTGAGGTCGCCAATGTTGTTACTGCTATGTCATCCAACTGTATCAGTGTTCCCTCTCCGAGTGATCCAAAAGAGGTCACGGAGACGCCGACAGACTGCCAGACGGACAACCTTGAATCAGTGGAGAAAAAATCGAACGAGCCCAAAGCGCCCCAGGCTTGCACTACCAGGAAACGGAGTGCCGATGACTCTGAACTCACAGACTCGCCAACGAAAAGAACGAAAGTAACTTCCACATCTCTACCTTCTACAAACGACGAGAATAAAGGGGAAACTGAAGAAATGGACACTAGCAATGTATCGAGTTTGATAACAATATTCGGTTCCAGTTTTTCTGGACTCTTGAGTAATAAAGACGGAGAGCAGCCTGACTCCGAGGCAGAGGACAGTGACTCTGGGCAAATCTGTTGTGATCAAATGCTCAAAAACCTCAACCCTTGGAGTACTGCAATTGTGGCTTTTTAAACTGTGATTTTGATATCTTACTTGGGGAATTTTAATAGGGATAGAACGGGAGGCAAAGTTCCATCAACTATTGCAGTTCTAACCCCACGTGGTGTAACGTGGAAAACCTGAGTAGTAAATTGGAATTACCCAAAACATCACAATGAAAGTAGGCCTACTGTTGTAGCTATTTACATGGAACTTCTTGTTGAAAGAATGTGAGCGAGGTGGCATTCAAAGGAGGTGTGATACTAATGTAACCAGTGGCTTGATTGTTAATTCTGAAACGTGCTCCTATACAAGTTAGCTACAGTGTTCCAAAAACTCCAAGTATCATTTGTTAAAATGTATCCTTTCTTAACAAGGATAATATTACAGGACTGAATGTGACCACTCAATGCTGACGCCATCTGTTGACGTGTATCTGTCAGTCACTGTTTCCAAATGTCTTTGTTTTATAAAGACTTGTACATGTGTACTATTGTGCCTGTAAATACTGGTTTCCCATGTCCTATTCTGAATCTATGTATTTTGGTATCTGCCATGGATTATGATAATTGCGTGATGCTCACGTATTAAAACATTTTGTCTAACAATTCACTTTCATTTGCTCTTTTTTATTGGGTTGGTTGGTACATAATGCAGCAAGTGTTGTGACAGACAGTGTCACCTAGTAGGGGTGGGTGGCAAATGTGAGTGGTAGGACACCATTTGTACAGTAGCCAACTCTTCACAGCATAACTGCTGCAAATGAAATACTAAATGATCATATAGGTGTGACACTAAGAATAATTCTAGTCATTACATCTTATGTTGTCCATTTATAAAGGGATTTTCTATAAGCAAATCCAATATGTTGCAATTTGTAGCCACTACTAATCCTCAGTCAATTTAGGCTTGCTCCATTGTGCCTATTCTTACATCAATTATAGTGTTATAGCTAAATAATCTTGGCCTAATGTTACTAAAGACAAGTACATTTTGACCTTGATAGAGCAGCTGTTGCTTATCACCATGTGGCTGTGTACAGAAGACTCCATGCCAGTGACAACCAGCACATGTTTCTCTAGTCTGGTCCAATCGTTTTGCAACTTCCACTACACAACTTTTTATAGCTCAACGAGAAAGGCCAAGATAAGGAAAAGTTTTCAGGAATTATTTCTGGCCCAGTCGCTGTTCCAGATAGTCGGGGAACTTGTCAGGCCTCAAATCAGTTTATTTCTACTGCTCTCTTGAACCATTTTCATTGTGCCTACAGGCATGTCCACTATGCAGCCTCAGGTTTCTACTCTGGCCTGCTATGTTGAAGCTAATCCTGGTTTGTACTGTTTAACATGTAGGCTAGTAGGTAAACTACTAGCTGTGCTACAGTAACCTTGTGCTTTTAACCTAAAGGACTTATGGGTAATTATACATTTGGTAATGCCAGGAATCAGTTCTAGTGTTACCTGAACCATTATCTTACTAACTTGAACTATCTAAACCAAACCATTGTTTGTTCAACCTTAACTCATATTTACACTTCTATGTCAGTGAGCTGACAAGCTCAAATTATTTTCATAGCAAAGCCCAAGTCAATAAACCAATCTACAGGAAAACGGTTTACATAGACTCACTACAGTACTGTACACTTGGGGAAGTAAACATAGACTCAGTCTAAAAATGTGCGACATGGTGGGTATTAAAGGAGAAAACCCATATATCCCACCATCGTCAGCCGCAACTCAGCACACCTGTAATGCCCAGAACACACAAACACACTACAAAGGGAAATGGGGAGAAAGAAAAATATGTCACACGTAACAATGTAACATCTCAATGAATACTATTACTAAATGGTACTAAATAAAAAACAGGGTGCAGGTGTGTTATGGATACTACATAGATATGCTGAGTATACAAAACATTAAGGACACCTGCTCTTTCCATGACATAGACTGACAAGGTGAATCCAGGTGAAAGCTATGATCCCTTATTGATGTCACTTGTTAAATCCACTTCAGTCAGTGTAGATGAAGGGTAGGAGACAAGTTAAAGAAGGATTTTTAAGCCTAGAAACAATTGAGACATGGATTGTGTATGCGTGCCATTCAGAGGGCAAATGGGCAAGACAAAATATTTAAGTACCTTTGAACGGGGTATGGTAGTAAGTGCCAGGCGCACCGGGTTGTGCCAAAAACTGCAACGCTGCTCAACAGTTTCCCGTGTGTATAAAGAATGGTCCACCACCCAAAGGACATCCAGCTAACTTGACAAAACTGTAGGAAGCATTGGAGTCAACATGGGCCAGCATCGCTGTGGAACGCTTTTGACTCGTTGTGGAGTCCATGCCCCTACGAATTGAGGCTGTTGGTGCAACTCAATATTAGGAAGGTGTTCCTAATGTTTGGTATACTCAGTGTATACAACCCTAATGTAATTCCTTAAATGTCTTTGCACTATCCGAACATATTTCCAACACAAAATTGGTCCTATGCAGGCAATGCAGCGTGGGCTTAAGTGGGATTTAGCCTCCTGTCCTGCGTGGCCACATTTTTCACACGGTCACAGCTGGGTATTAGTAGCCGGCGCTCCCTGGAGATGCAGCAGAAGGCGCGGCTAAAGCCGGCCGGATCCCGGCTAGGCAGGCTAACACAGGGAATGTGGGTCACGACGGTCCCAGGACACAAGGGCTCACACCAGCAGAACACAAACAGAGAGGGAACAAAGGGAGGAGAAGAGCAGTGTACTTCCTGGTTCCTGGGGATGCACAGGATGCACAGGATTTTGTTAGAGCCAATTGCTACTGTACCACACCAGACTCAACTTATCATCAAGCCCTTGATCAGTTGAATCAGGTCTTATTGCAGGGTTGGAACAAAACCTTGCACACCCTGTAGATCCCAATGGCTAGGTTTGAAGAACACTGGAGGGGAGCTTGTTTTATAGTGTGTGGTCCATTTTCCAAAGGCATACATTGGCTTGGTTATATTTGCTTAATAAGATGGTAGGAATTTATGAACAGGGTTAGTTATTATATGCATCACCTTTTTCTCAGATCAAATAGTGCAAGTGTATGCATGCTTGCATGCTTGCATGCGTGAGAGCGACAGAGAGAGGGACGGGGAGAGTGACTGGGTATAAAGGATATCTACAGGTGTGGGAATGGTTTTATTGTCTGATCATGTTTTATGTTGCATGACTAATCTGCATGTGATGCAATTACTAAGCGCCCATCCTCTCTCCGCTCCCAGTATTGGGACAGACAGACGGAAGGCTGCATACATGTGAGTACAGTGCCTTCAGAAAGTATTCATACCCCTTGACTTATTCCACATTTTGTTGTGTTACAGCCTGATTTCAAAATTGATTAAAAATAATTTTTTTCTCACCCTTCTACACACAATACCCCATAATGACAAAGTGAAAACGTGTTTTTAGAAATGTGTGTAAATTTATTGAAAACTGAAATACATAAATATCTAATTTGCATATAGTACCAGTCCAAAGTTTGGACACACCTACTCATTCCAGGGTTTTTCTTTATTTTTTACTATTTTCTACATGGTGGAATAATAGTGAAGACATCAAAACTATGAAATAACACATATGGAATCATGTAACCAAGAAAGTGTTAAACAAATCAAAATATGTTTTATATTTGACATTCTTCGAAGGAGCCACCCTTTGCCTTGATGACAGCTTTGCACATTCTTGCCATTCTCTCAACCAGCTTCATGAGGTAGTCACCTGGAATGCATTTCAATTAACAGGTGTGCCTTGTTAAAAGTTAATTTGTGTAATTTCTTTCCTACTTAATGCGTTTGAGCCAATCAGTTGTGTTGTGACAAGTTAGGGGTGGTATACAGAAGAGAACCCTATTTGGTAAAATACCAATTCCATATTATGGCAAGAACAGCTCAAATAAGCAAAGAGAAATGACAGTCCGTCATTACTTTAAGACATGAAGTTCAGTCAATCTGGAAAAGGTAAAGAACTTTGAGTTTCTTCAAGTGCAGTCACGAAAACCATCAAGAGCTATGATGAAACTGGCTCTCATGAGGACCGCCACAGGAAAGGAAGACCCAGAGTTACCTCTGCTGCAGAGGATAACTTCATTAGAGTTAACTGCACCTCAGATTGCACCTCAGATTTTGCCTGTGCTTAGCTCCAGTCCGGGTTTTGTTTTATTCTGAAAAACTCCCCAGTCCTTAAAGATTACAAGCATTCTGTCAAACGGCTGATGTCGATGTGTGGTGGGAGTCAGGCGCAGGAAACAGAGGCTCAGTCAAAACGACTTTACTGGACTGAAACAAACACTCAATACAAAAATAAAGACCTCGACACAGGAGGTAAAACGTACACGCAAACTATGCGTAACCATAAAGTCCGACCAAGGAAAACCAAACTGAAAACACCAGACAGGCGGACAATTACACACAAATACCCACAAACAAAACGAGAAACTTATAGGGGACATAATGAACACTAAATAGAAACAGGTGTACAAATAAGACAAAACCAAACAAACATCGATAACATTCAACGGTGGCAGCTAGTACGAACGCCGAAGCCTGCCCGAGCAAGGAGGAGCAGTCTCGGCAGAATTCGTGACAGTACCCCCCCCTTGACGCGCGGCTCCAGCCGTGCGCCGACCCCGGCCTCGGGGACGACCAGGAGGACGCGGAGCAGGGCGCGTGGGATGACCACGGTGGAACTCAGTCAGGAGGGAAGGATCTAAGATGTCCCTCCTAGGCACCCAGCACCGTTCCTCCGGGCCGTACCCCTCCCACTCCACGAGATATTGGAGACCCCCCATCCGACATCTCGAATCCACGATGGACCGAACAGTGTACGCCGGAGCCCCCTCGATGTCCAGTGGGGGCGGAGGAGTCTCTCTTATCTCACAGTCCTGGAGTGGACCAGCTACCACCGGCCTGAGAAGAGACACATGGAACGAGGGGTTAATGTGATAATCAATAGGCAGTTGTAACCTGTAACACACCTCGTTCAATCTCAGGACTTTAAATGGCCCCACAAAC